GCAGGTTGGAAAAACTAACCAATTCCCACGTTAGAGTTTCATGCACCTATTTGCAAGGTCCCACCCAGTCATTTGGTGGGAGTCATGACGACTGTGGGTAGAAGAACCATAACATGTTATTCAACTGCACCATACTCTACTTGCTAATAATGACTCAGAAATTTTTATTCACCCTCCAGAGATGTATCAGATGAGGTCTGATAAAATCTAAGATTTCAATAAACTGAGGGTCTTATAATAATACCCAACATGTTCCAGTTTCAATCAAATATCATTCATCATATGTAGTAACATGAACATTTCAAATTTATTGAAAAAGACAGTCAACACATATCAAAACCAAGATGACACAGATGTTAGAATTATCTGACCAGAATTTTACACAACAATCATAAGTACACTTCAATGAGCATTTATGGATATGTTTGAGACAAACAGTAAGTCTCAGCAGAGAAACAAATTTAAAAGAAATATCAACACTTTAAAAAAAAAATTTTTTTTTTAAGTCAGTTGTTGTTAAGTGCCATTGAGTCGGTTCTAACCAACAGCGATCCTTCCAAGGAGTAGCTGGTGAGTTTGAACCGCCGACCTTGTGGATTAACCCAACGTTGCAGTCTAGCACATTAATCTATAGCACCACACCAGAACTTCTAAAAGTCATCAGACAGAAACAACATCAGAATGGAACGAACAGAGGAAAGAATTGGAGAACTTGAAGACAAAACAATAAATATTACGCAATGACCATCAGAAGAAATTAAAACAATGAACAGAGCTTCAGGGGTTTGTAGGAGTGTAAGACAACTAATATCCATGGTCATCGGAGTCTAGAAACAGAGAAAAAATAAGGCAGGGCAAAAGAATTTGATGGCTATATGTTGTTGTTGTTATGTGCTGTGGAGTCAGTTCTGACTCATAGCAATCCTGTACAGGGTTTCAGAGGCTGTAAATCTTTACGGGAGCAGAAAGCCTTCTCCCATGAAACAGCTGGTAGTGTTGAACTGCCTACCCTGAGGTTACCAGCCTGATTCGTAACCACTACGCTACCAGAGTTCCTTTGATGGCTATATACTTCCCAATTTTTAAGAAAGCTTTAAACAACATATTCAAGAAGCTGAGAGAGAGACTTCCAGTTGATGGTGGCACAGCATAGTCAGGTTAGGTAGGGTCCATGGAAGAAGGGCTGAAAGTCCAGGGATGTGGCTCTCACAAAAACACACCAGAGCTCTGGATCTATCACAAAGGTCTGGGCGTCAGTTTCCCACAACCGGAAGTAGAAAAATCATGGTAGAAAGGAAAACAATGCATTTTAGAAATCTGCACAGGACTCCCTCTGCAGCCATCTGGCCTGGGCAGAAGTCAGAGGGCAGGATTACAGAGAGACTGGCAAACAGAACCTGTGCTAAAAGCAGGGAAGTGACATTTGCAAAAGGAAGTGTGGAGGCATTTAGACGTTTTTTCCCTCCTTTTCCCTGTTGTGCCTCTTTGCCCAGCCCAGACGCCTTCAAGAGGGTGGGTGCGCACCCCCAAAAAAAGTCCAGCGTTGACACCACAGCTGTCCCATGGCATAGAGAGAAAGAGCCCCAGCCGTCCAAGGGCAAATCCTTTGGCTGTGGCTTTTGACTTCTGCCTGTGCGTCCCAGCCCTAAAGTTAACTTGTGAGGGACAATTAACCCCTGTATACTTAGAAAGAAAAAAGTAGGTTTGGTCTGACAGACAAAACACATGAACAATCTGTAAAACCCTAACATAAAAAGACGCAACTTGCAGGGAGTACCTGCTCTCCGCGGGGGTCGTGGAACACGAGAGGATATGCGGAATCAGCGGTGAAGAAAAAATGAATGAATACAATCGAAAGGCTTTTCAGCTTGCTGTACTGTCTGGCTGTTCTCTCCAGCTTCTGCCTCCTGCTTTCTGCTTCTGCTTCTTTCTGCTTCTGCCTTTTTTCTGCCTCCTGCCTCTTTCTGCCTCTACTCCTGCTCTCTGCTTTCCTCTGCTGC